ACAAATTACAGCATCAATTCTGCGTGGTGGTGTTGAAGTCATCGTCGTTGCACCTCACCAACTCCGCATTTTTACCCCTCTTCTACGACCCTCACAGCGGCCCGGCCCGTTTCAACCACAAAACATTCATCACCAACACCACAGCTCCAACACAACAACACCACCAAAAAAACCACCTCATCAACCATTCACCGGCATCTTCAAACCCGTCAGCAACACCACCGCCAAAATGCCCACCATAGCCCTCCTCGGCACCTGCGACACCAAACTCCCCGAACTCCTCTACCTCCGCTCCCAAATCCTTTCCCAGGCGCCACCCCACTCCACAACCGTCTTCCTCATCGACGTCGGCCGCCGCGTCATTTCCCACCCAGCCATCGACATGCCCCCCTCCGACCTGCTTACCCTCTATGGCCACCCCATCGACGACCCCGAAGACATGTACGCCATCCAGCAGTTACCCCGCAACGAGCTGGTGGAGGTGATGTCCCGGCTTGCGACGCGGGCCATTAAGTTTCTTTATTCCCATACAGAGAGACATGCGCGCGACCCGCAGGGCAATGAGATGGGGATTCATGCAATTATTTCCCTAGGAGGGTCGAATGCGACGGCGGTGGCGACGCCGGTGATGAGGAATGCAGTGCCCATCGGGTTCCCGAAGTTGATGGTTAGCACCGTGGCGAGCGGTGATACGGGCCCGTATGTGGGGGAGGCGGATATAACCATGATGTACAGCGTCGTGGATGTGGCCGGGTTGAATGAGGTTTTGAGGTCGGTGTTGAGCAATGCGGCGGGGGCGGTGGTGGGGATGGCGAGGGCTTATGAGGAGAGGATGGCCGAGAAAGAACAAAAAGAAAAGGAGGGGGATGGAGGAAGAGGGAAAAAGAAGGTGAAGGTGGGAATCACCATGTTTGGGGTTACTACGCCTGGTGTTGATGCTATTAGGCAATACCTGGAGGAGAAATATCCGGTTGTGGAAACGCTGGTGTTTCATGCGACGGGCCATGGAGGAAAGGCCATGGAACGGCTGGTAAGGGAGGGAGAGCTGGATGCGGTGATTGATCTTACCACGACCGAGTTGGCGGATGAGTTGGTTGGAGGGGTGATGAGCGCAGGGCCGGACAGGATGCGGGCGGCGGTTGAAAAGAAGATTCCCTATATCGTGTCGTTGGGGGCTCTGGATATGGTCAACTTTGGGCCGAGGGAGACCGTGCCGGAGAGGTTTAGGAAGGATCACGGAAGGAAGCTTTACGAGCATAATCCTACGGTTACGTTGCTCAGGACGTCGGCTGAGGAGTGTACCGAGATTGGGAGGAGGATGTGTGAGAGGTTGCGAAACGGAGGAGACCCAAGAAGGATCCAGGTGTGGATTCCAAAGGGTGGCTTGAGCATGTTGTCAGTGCGGCGCGCCCCATTCGAGGACCGATATTGTGATGACTTCCTGTTTAGGGCTGTTCATAACGGCCTCGAGGGCACTGGCATTCTGGTCAAGGATGACCAGAGGGATGTCAATGATAAGGGCTTCGCTCATGATGTCGCGGAAGCAATGGCGACACTTTTGGAGCTTTCGAGCCACCAGCAGTCGTGAGGGATTTGGTTCCGGCAGTCAAAAGGAGTATTTCCTTGGTTGGTTAACAGGTGTTATTACAAGACCGCTAAGTTCTTTCTCTATGCCAAAATCTTCAAAATCCTACACTACTGGACACACTTATCTCACAAACAGGCCTGTCCTAGCAGCATCTCACATCTTACAGTCCACCACACCCCTCTATCTGCATCTCCCATTTAAGGCCTCCAAGTAGGCGAGCCTGTCCTTTGTTCCTGGTCCTGGCCGTGACCCTTGAGCGCTAAAGGCGGTGGCGATAAAGAAGTCACTACTTGCGATGGTACTCTTACTTGGCCGTCAGCGCCCGTATACAGATTCCACAGCGACTCATCACCTTCCGACGAAACCGTCATTCTCGACCGCTCCTGATCCCTGCCGGCAGCATCAGTCCCTGTACTGCTGTCCGACCACGTGCTCTGGAACTTCATCGCCTTCATGTTCTGTGCGGCAGTGGGCGGCTTCTTGGGCATCGGACTCAGTGGCTTCGGAATATCGTTGAAGTAGGTAGCAGGAATGTCGGGCATGGGAGGGGCATCCGGGTCGTAAGGGGTAGGAGGAGGATAAGAAGACGCCATCGAGTCTCGGCCTTGTTGGGAGCCGTACGCTGATGATGCCCGCCGGCTGAAGGCCGAGAAAGTGCTGCCTCGGATGGAAAGTGGGTTCAGCCTCAGCGGGTGGTGTTTCCTCAGCCAACTGGCGACCGACTTGCGAACTTCGGGCTGGTGGGTGGGCGCTGGCTGGATGATGGTTACAGGGTAGGCGCTGTCGGCTCGCTTCTCGTCAAGGGCGGTGGCGGGGAGGACGTAACCGTTGGGGATACTGTAGGTGTTGTTGGTACCGTCTTGACCGTTCTGGTGAGCGTATGAAGCGGCGATCAGGTCATCGAGGATCTGGGAGTTGCTGCGCGGGTCGAAGTTGGTGGAGAGCTGGTCGGCATTTATGCCAGCACCTGCAGCAGTGGCTGGAGGTGGCAGACCAGAGTCATCATATTTTCCGCCCGAAAGAAAGGCGCGGATGGAAGACTCCGAATCGCCTTCCGAGCTGCGGGAGCGAAAGCACCTAAAGATCCAGAAGAGAATAATTCCTAGCATGGCAACACCGGCTATTGGTGGACATGGTTAGCTCATGATGCACACGCAAGTAAGTCGGATTCGGCGAGCTTACCAACTACGCCAATGGCAATTCCGGCCTTGGCACCTCCCGACATATTCCCGTGAGCAGTCTCCTTCTCTTGAGCTTCTTCCAGGGCAGCTCCATTGTTGATGGCCGGGCTCGCTGTGGCTGAAGCCAACACGCTGGTCGTAGCACTGCTGGTGATGGCTATCGATGTTGCAATATCGGTAATAATGCTGCTGCTAGATGTCGTTACGGTCACGAACCCATCTGTGACGGTGGCTGAGCTCGTCTTCTCTGGCTTGTCATCTTGATCTGTTGTCTTTGTAGGCGGAGGCTTGGCAGAATGTGAGATAGGCGTGAGTGTTGTTATCGGCTGTGGTTGTCCAGATGCGGTCATGGTGCTAATGGTGAAGGTAACTGGGGGTGGCGCAAGGGATTGGGTGAGCGTGGGCGGCTCGATTGTGATATCGGGTTCTGTTGGCGTTGATCCTACTGCTGAGACTGTCTTTGTTGACTTGACCGACTTTACTGACTCGACACCGCTTTTCGTTGACTTTGCTGTCTTTGCCGTCGAGGCCGTCTTCGCCGACACCGTTGACTTGGCATCTGGATCATCGATGAACTGGAATACCGGTTCCGATCTTGCTGATAGGTTTTGGTCATTGCCAGCCTCGACAGTCGCTCCCTGGCCCAGCTCGAACACTTCCTTCCCATCGTCTGCCCCCTCGCTACGGGTGTGTAGTAGTACGTCGTCCACCCATCGTCGAATGTCGTGTCTCGTATAGCCATCCATGTCTGTATCGTCTGCCTCTGATTGTCTTCCACTGCCGTACCGTCGTTGGCCCCTTGACCCAGCAAGGAGTCGTCGTGTATATGATATGGAAAGCAGGCCTGCTGTGAGGGGTAACAAGATAACGAATGTCCAGCACCAGGCTGTTAAGAGAAGAGAGAAAGAACGTAGAAGAAAAAGGTCAGCTAGTAACCTTGCTCTGCTGTTTACGGTAAAACAAACAGATGGTAGTATCAAAAAAAGAAGAAAATGGGAAGAGATCCCCAGATTTCCCTTGGCTTGGAAGGAGACCGAGGGAGGGAGCGGGACACCCCGGGTCTTTTTAGAAGCGACTGGACACTCGGAACCCAGAGGGCAGTCAGCCCAGCAAGCCATCCATCCATCCCATATCCATGGACTCAAACCCCGGAATAAGCCACACCACGAAAATCTTTGAGTTTCACATCTCGTGCGGTGTTGTGGTGAGAGAACCGGGAGAGTGGTAGTTGGCCAAAGTGACTGACCCCTGGTGATGTGTCGGGTGTGTGGAGCCCAATGATGCGCTGTGGACGTCAAGTTGTCCGTCTGGACGTCTGGACGTCTGGAGGCCAACCCCTGGAACCCTGTCCGCCGACCCCTGAAACACCACGCAGCGCCGCTATGAGCGAGCTATGAGCGAGCTATGAGGCCCTGGCCATCTGGTCAATGCAGGGGCTTGGCATGAACACTTGGGGGTTCAACCACTTCGTTTGTGTCCATCATCGTGTTCCCCGGAAAAAAAAGAGAGCAACCATGTCGTCGACAATTCTTGCTGGGTTCCTCTTGTATCGATGAAATGCGGCTCTTGCGGTTCTCGGAGTACAATGGGGAGCTTTGGGATTTCGAGGAAGTCGGCCGCTTCAGGTCTATACCATATGCAAAAGACGTGGAAAGCTTGTCCGTCTTCTGCTCCGGGTTTTCCGTTCTGGTCAGTTATTCGTCACAGGTCATTCGATGAGCTGGGTAAGTAGCACTCAATGGCAATGCAACTCACAGCGGAAGGGGTTTTGAAACATTTGGACTCGGGGAAGGATTGCGAGAACACCGATGACGACGACATGTGATAGGCGAAGACAGCGGTGGTGTTGACGCGGTGTTGGCAGGCAATAGTTCAACAATGTTGTTCAGCCGGTGACGACGCTCATGAAGAGTTCTAACTATACACCGGTTCCATTAGGAGACTACATTTTCCGATCGAAACACATTCGTGGATTGTAGGAAAGATTGGCGGGTTCGAGCCCTAATGAATCCCTCGAGGAAGGAGCATTTAACATCACCTTCCAGCGAGTTCGAAATTACCGAGGAAGGAACAGCGACTGGGCTAGCCACTTCCACTTCCACTTCCTCGGAATACACCTTCCCATCTCAGAAAATCGGCTAATCTGTGGATGTAGAGGTAGTGCTGCTGGCATCACCAACGCAGACGGCAACCCTCATAATCAGCTCTTTTACATAAAACAGCTCAACGATGGCCGTTTGGCGCAATTGGTAGCGCGTTACTTTCCGGTGGTAAAGGTTCTGGGTTCGAGTCCCAGGATGGTCGAAGGGAAGACATCTCAGGATGTTTCGGTTCCTTTTTTTGTTGGTGTTGCAAGTTGCCTGTGGATCGAACACCCGTCTGCGAAATCTTCGTCGGGTATCTTCTTGCCGGCCACGACATCGCACCACCACATGTTACAGATCGAAGAATCGTCCAAACCTTATCTTTTCCCGGAACTTCCAGACTTCAAGTCGGGATCCACTGGGCTGAATCTTAGCTATGTTCTTGACTCGACCGGGACCGATAGCCGGCGGACATCCACCATGATGCCCCCTTTTGTCTTGTCAGGGTTAGGGTATGTGATCCTGACAGACATCGATAAATACGAACATGCCTCACCAACTCACGCAATGGAAAGGTATAGTGACATGAGGCACTAAGCCAATATGCTACCAGCATCTACCACTAACCATGATGCAGTCTACTCTCATATCCAGTCCGATCACTGTCGTCCCAAATCGAGCCAAAAGCCCAGAAGGTGTACTGACATCCCTCACTGAGCCTCCGCCCCCTTACTAACCTCATCCCTCTTCGGATCATTAATCGCCTTCAAGAACTTCTCCCTCGCCTCCGCATCCTCGCTAAACAAGGTATCAGCCACCTGCCTCTGCGGCGTCTCGCCAAGCCATTGGAACAGCGAGATATCCAAAAACTCATCCGCCCTAAAGATCTCCAGCATCACCAACGGCTCATCACCAATGTTCTCCACGAAATGGCCCATGTTCCTCGGCACGATCCCGACGTCGCCAGGCATGTAGTTGAACGTGCGAGCATTACCCTGCGAGGCAAATACGGTCACGCGGGCACGGCCGCTGATGAAGAAGGACCACTCGTCCGCGTTGGGGTGCCAGTGCATCTCGCGCAAAGCACCAGGTTCGATGGTGAGGTGGGCGGCCGCCACGGTCTTGGAGATGGGGAAGTTTTTGGAGTCGGTGATTCTGACTTCACCGCCGGAAGTAATCTTGGGGTCCTGGGCGAGCATCTTGTGGGTAAACTGGTACTTGGACTTCTTGATGTTGTTTCCCGTGGGTCTTTCCTGGTCGATAGACCCGGGCTGCGAGCCTTGGAAGATGTACTTCTCCTTTTCGGGGAGGTGGGCAAAGATTTCCGGGGCAAGGTGGAAGTTTTTGGCGATGACGGACTTGGGGGTGTGCGCGAGCCAGTCGGTCAACAAAAAGGTGGATTCCTCCGAGAAACTGCCGTCGTCAAAGATGAGCAGGAACTCGGTCCCGTTGTCGCCTAGACCTTGCAAGGAGTGCGGGATGCCGCTGGGGAAGTACCAGAGATCGCCCTTTTCGAGGTCGTCGATGAAGTTGCCGCCTTCGTAGTCCAAGGCTGTCACGCGGACGTTGCCCTCGAGGACGTAACCCCATTCGGCCTCCTTGTGCCAGTGCAACTCGCGGATGACACCTTTGTCGAGACGCATGTTGACACCGGCCAACTCAACGCTGGTGGGGAGCTCACGGACAGTGGTCTGACGAGTCCAGCCGCCTTCTTCGATGCGGATGTGGGAGTCGGCAAAGCTCCAGCGGAGACTCGGAAGGGTGCCATGGTCGGTGCTGGGTGGGCGGACCAAGTCGGGATCCTGTCGAGAGCGGTCCTTGTTCCATGGTCCTAGCACGGTGGCTCCCTTGCCATTCCGGTAGGGAAGAGGATCAAGACCTTGGCCAACAGAGTCGACAGCGCTGTCGTAGGGATCACGGAACGATGGAGTGTAGGGGTTCGTGATGTTGACGCTCCGGGTGCGGTACTTGGAAGGCAGAGGCTTGCCGTCAAGAAGACGCTGGCGGGGGCTGTCCTGGATAGGAACAGCCGAGACGAGGGCGATGCCCAAGGCGAGGAGAGATGCCGTGAAGCGCATCTTGATTAAGAGGCAAATGATAGACTTCTGATGATGATCTTGGAGTCTGGAGAACTGTGATGATGATGAGACTGATCTGCTGATGAAGTTGAGCCCAGATATGCTGGGCATCAACGCTCTTCTTATACCCTCGAGCTGGTGTCCATCCTGGCGTCGCCGTGGTCGACGTGATCTTGGTTCCGTCTCTCCCGTTCCCCAACATCACTCAGCGTCATTGACTTTTGCAGCGTATCATGCAGTCGATGTACACTCGTATCCTGTATCTGGTTCTGTATCTCATCTCGGAGAAGATCCGGGAGGATTCTGAGGGGTCGGCGCTGCGATATGCATCAGCAGTGTAACAACAAACATGGCGGGAGGTCGCTTCGATGTCCCCATTTGAACGCGTGGATAGACGGATATAAGAGTGGGAATGGTGGTGAAGAAGCGAAGAAGTGTCTGATGAAGGTCTAGAGGATGGAAAAGAAAAAGAAGAACGTCCCACGAGGTTCCATTGCGCCAATAGCGCCAAGCATCGTTGCCAAGCACCTGCCAAGAAGAGGTCATGTTCGCGAACAACATCGGAGGGGTTCGTTGCATCATCACCACTCGCCTCGGTGACTGCTCGGCTGCTCAGTGGTCGACGATAACAATTCGGGGCAGGTTCGGCGTTGACCTAACCCGAACTTGTATGGTAGGTAGGTCACGAACGTGCTGTAAGCGGTGTTGTTATTCAGCAGTGTTACAACGCGCAAGGGCATCCCGTCTCATTCTCTTCCGTGCTTCATCTCATCCGATCTTTCCGATGAGGACGACATTGGACGAGATCTAAATCTCAGATGCGATGAACTTCTTCTCCGGTCATCCTCTTCGTTGTCTTTCCCATTTTTGTTCCCTCGTGCGTGTCCAAGAATAAGCCACAGTACTCGACGGAACTGATCGACGGCCCGGATCTCCACGCATCATCGCGGTGGACCTCGCCGACTTCCAGAATACAAAGGGGAAAAAAGACGGACACCGGCAACGGAAGGATTCGTCGAAACAAGCCTTTTCTCGCTTCTTACGTACCGGCAATCACCACAATTGCGCCAAACTGATCGCGCTATTAGTTTGGACACTTTGACGCCAATCCCGCAATCGCCAACATTCCATTCCAATTCCCAGTCACAGTTCAAAGACAAACGCCAATCCTGACTCACCACCCGTTGCCGATTGTCGTCACCAGCCCTGTCAAATCCAAACCCCCACGACGGGAACCGGGAAGCCACTTACCCAGCAAAAATGTCTCCTCAGACAATCGGGAACTCGTCAAGTTCCTCCTATGGCACAATCATCAACAACGACAACAGTCGTCCTCACATCAACTCCCACAACAGCACCACCAGCATCCTGACCAACGAAACCCAACCACTCCTCTACCCAACCACCACCACCATGTCATCAACAGACACTGGCACCACCCCCTTAGCTCCAGCTTCCAGGCCAGAAGGGTCAGGGTCGGAAGCTCCCATCAAACCCAACAATCCTTCTCCTCAGCCATCATCGCGCTGGCGCCGCCACCTATCCTCAGACGTCGACCGCACCAACGCCGACCTGATTCTCATCATCTGCTACCTCATCACCGGCCTCTTGGACTCGTCATCCATCTCCATCTGGGGCTCCTTCGTGTCCATGCAAACCGGCAACACCGTCTACACCGGTCTCGGTCTAGCAGCGCCTCACGAATCAACGCGGTGGATCAAATCCGGCACTTCCCTTTTGGCCTTTTGCCTTGGTAGCTTTTTGTTTTCTCGATTTCACCGATTTTTCGGCTCACCCAAAAAACGCTGGGTGCTTTGCGTGTCATTCGTGGCGCAGTTCCTGTTATGCGTGGCGGCCGCGGCGGTGGTGACGGTCATGGGCAAGCCGGAGAGTATGGAGGCGATTGACTGGCACGTCTTGTTGCCGATCGCGCTGTTGGCGTTCCAGAGCTGTGGACAGGCGGTCATGAGTAGGGCGCTCAAGTATAATGCGCTGACGAGCGTGGTATTGACGAGTATTTACTGCGATCTGTTTTCGGATGTGAACCTGTTCAAGGTGCATAATCGCGAGCGCAATCAGAGGGTGGGCGCGCCGCTGTTTTTGTTCCTGGGGGCGCTGTTTGGTGGCTTCTTTGCGCATACCGACTTTGGGGTGGCGGGTGCTTTGTGGATGGCGGCGGGACTGAAGTTGGTGGTTGTTGTGCTTTGGCTGGTGTGGCCGGCTAAGAAGCTGGAGAATGGACTGGCGATGCCTTGAATGACTCGGGTTGGTATAAACGAGCGCATTGAAAGGCTCTTGGGATAATTGTGCCTTTTAGATACACTGGGTGCGCAAGCTAAGCCCGTCGAGCGAGCGAGTTTTTTGGCCTTGTGCTATTTGTATGTATTAGATGTAGACTCACACTAGAGCTATAGATATGGTGGTTCTCATGGTATCATCAATTCAATTCCTGTCACAATCTTTGTTATCCTCTCCGCCCACACAACTCCTGGGATCGCACCTTTAATCACAGCTTCTCGACGTTGCGCAAAGCCCAGAGCTCCTTGGGCTGACCAGCAGCGTCACAAGAAGAGAACTTCCACCAGCCAGAGTGAAAAGCACCGGCAATGTTGACCAATCCCCACTTGATAGGAGCAGGCATGGGCGGCCAGTTGGCCCACATACCATCCTCAACTGTGCGATCGAGGTTGAGAAGGAAGAAAGGTACGCAGTCTGTAACGCCGGCCTTGGTCACCGTTGCCTTGCCCCACGTCTTGAAGGTAGTAACTGCCGCGGAGTGCTCCGGTGTTCCCTCCTTGGGGGCATTCGCATGCTCAGAGAGCTTGGAGATGGTGGAGATCTCGCTGTGGAAGTGGTCGGAGAAGGAGTCTTGAAAAGTGCCCATGATGCGAAGCAACTCCTCGCCCGAGAAGTCGCTGGGGCTCTTGAGACCGCTAAGGTACTTTTCGAATTCGGCAAGGCCGGGCAGGAATGCCTCTGTGATAATAAAGTCAACAAGCTGTTATGATATCAATCCTCCGTGCGCCCCTTGCTGCCTTACCATGCTCCTTATGCGTCTCCTCAAAGACAGTCTTGTCCTGCAAGAGGTCCTCGATCTTGGGAAACAGTGACTGCTCTTCGTCGTCATGGTGAGACTTGACGA